ACACACACACACACACACACACACATACACACATATATATATATATATATATATATGTGTGTATATATATATATATATGTGTATATATATATATATATATATATATATATATATATATATATATATGTGTGTGTGTGTGTGTGTGTTGGAAGGAGACCAAGCTGTGTGCAAAAATTAAATTCACTGAGCAAGTATTACAACAGTGTGAGCAAATTTGCGATAGTCGAAAAACTTTATTCGTACCAAATACATGAATATGTGAAGACATAAATAAGGTTTATTCATATATTTATTAAAATAGATGTATAATTCAGTTAAAAATGTTAAAATTCAAAAAATATAAAAAATTACTTTTTTTTATTATTAACGGGGTTTAAAGTGGTTCAGAAGATTATGGTCTGTGTAAGAACCACTACTAATTTGATCTCCTAATATCCTATCTGTCCGAGTTTGGCCTTGAAGTTGTTGAGTGAATTCGCAGAACTGCATCATCGCTTAGCTCGTTCCAGGCGTTGACCACTCTACTGCTGAAAAATTTGCTCTTTATTTTTCCATCCGAGTTTTTGAAAATCTTAAATCTGTGTCCTCGTAGTTTATCACTATTTACTAGCCTGAAAAATCTCGAGTATGGTGTTGTTTCCCTGTTCGTGATCAATTAATATGTTTGGATTAGATCTCCTCTACATCTTCTTTTTTCTAATGATGTTAAGTCGCATTTTTTCAATCTTTCATCGTATTCTATTTTTCCGATTCCTCTAACCATTCTTGTGGCTCTTTTTCTAAAACTTCCTCATCTTTTTGCATATATAGGCTCCATGCTTGAACACAGTACTCCAGATGAGGTCTGCCTAGGGTTTTATACAGTTTCAGTATGATATTCTTCTCTCTGCTGACCTTTGTTCTTCTTATAAATCCCAAGATCGTATTGGCTCTGGCCGCTGCAGCTGTACATTGTCTTGACGGTTTTGTTCTTTGATGAACAATGATTCCTAGATCCTTTTCTTCCTCTGTCGATCGTAGTTCTCTTTCACCAATTTTATTTTCATATCTAGCGTTCTTCCTCCCTAAGTGCATGACTGCACATTTGTCAACGTTGAAAAGCATTTGCCAGTCCTTGGACCATTGGTACAGTCTTGCTAGGTCTTTTTGCACTATTTCAGCATCTTCATCGTTGTTGACTTTCACACATAATTTGGTATCATCTGCAAACTTTTAAATCTTAGAGACTATTCCTTCGTTGATGTCGTTAATGTATATCACAAATAATAGTGGTCCCAATACCGATCCCTGAGGCACGCCACTTGTTACGTCTATCCACTTCGAGTTTATTCCTTTTATCCGCACCTGTTGTCTCCTATCTTTCAGCCAATTTTTTATCCATTGTAGCAGATTTCCTTCTACCCCACATGCCTGTAACTTTTTGGATAACCTTTTATGTGGCACCTTATCGAATGCTTTTGCAAAATCTAAATAATTACGTCTACCGAGTTATCCTAGTCTAGGTTAGCATAAACATCTTCAAAAAAATCCAATAGGTTAGATAGACAGGATCGTCCTTTCATAAAACCATGTTGGCTGTCATTGATTATGCAGTTAGAATTTAAGTGCTCGACTATATTCTTCTTGATATTTTTTTCTAATACTTTACATATAATGCAAGTTAAACTAACTGGTCTGTAGTTACTATTTTTGCTTCTACGTCCTTTTTTGAACAATGGCGTGACGATAGCGTCCCTCCAATCCCTTGGTATATTTCCTGATCTTAAAGAGTCATTAAATATTTAGCACAGTGTGGCTCCTACTTCATGTCTTATTTCTTTTAAAAATTTTGGGTGCAGCTCATCTATTCATGGAGTTTTATTCTCTTTGAGACTGCCTAGTATTTCGACAACCATCTCTTCTGTTATGTAAACACTTGTAAGCATCCTTTCTTAGCTTCCCCCAAACAATTTTTTGGCTCCTTTATGTTATTTAATTTTTCTTTTGTCAGCACCGATCCAAAGTAGTTATTCAGCATCTCAGCCATTTCTTTTTCTTCCGTTACAATGTTACCATGATCAGTCTTCAGAGGCTCCACTTTATCTTTCCTTTTTTGTTTACTTCTCATGTAACTGAAAAAGCTTTTACTGTCTTTACTTATGTTCTCACTTAGTTTTTCTTCATATTCCTTTATTGCTTTCCTGTTTGTTGCCTTTGCTAGATTTCTCTTTCTGATGTATTTATCCCTTGCTGCTTCTAACTCACTTTTTGAGATATCTTTAGCATTTCTGAGATATCTCTGTCTTAACTCCTGCATCTTCTTCCATGCTTTAAATTTTGATCTACTTTAAATCAATTTTAATGTTAATCGGTATTTATCAGAACTTTCTACAAAACGATTTTACGTTATTATCAACTGATAAATGAATAAAGCTTTCACATTTCCGACGGAAATAAACAATGATAAATGCAGCGAAATATGACTAACGATGTAGCGCTTAAGTTAAAAAAGTTTTGAAAATACGAGGTTTGGTTATATAAAATTGAAAAAAAAATTATTTGAACTTTTATTTTTACAATACCGAGTTAGTTGTTTGATTTACTGCGCGGAAGAAAAATTAGCTGCGCCAGCCTGTTCAAACTACTGCGCGGGCGCGCAGCCGCGCAGCTTAGAGGGAATATTGGTTGTAAATCGTATTTATTGAGAACTAGTGACATTATTTGGCTGCCTAACAACGTTGTTTCGGTGTAAACACCATCTTCAGAGCCTTGTGTGAGATACAAATGTTAATATTAAAATAAATGGGAATGTAAACCATATAAAAAAATACAATAGTACCTAAATACGAATCACAACTTAAACGTATTATTAAGACAAACATCTCGATTCCTAACAACAGCAGTTGATTAAAATTAATAATTTATTAAAACACTAAGAGGGCGTCTAATTTAATAATTAAGAATAACATTCGACCATCAAATAAACTAGAGAAGACGAACCTCGTGTACCGAATTGATTGCCCAATGCCACACAAAGTTGTGTGAGAGTTACATCGGTCACACGAGAACTATATATATATATATATATATATATATATGTATATATATATATAGTTATTAGGAAATATCACCGCATTTTCTGCGTTGAAAAATGCGGTAATATTTCTTAATAATTGTATATACGACAGTCTGAACCCATATATATATATATAAATTCTACCGATTTATGTTTATCAACTTACGTTCGAATATAAGTTAATAAACACTAATAAATTGGTGGAATTTATAACATTCTGTCAAGAATTCGGTCTTTTACCAGCACATAAATATATATATATATAGATATATATATATATATATATATATACAATATTTTTTATTTATGAAATAAAATGACATAATCAAAGCATCTGGTACTATTGCTCGATGCCGACTGAATGGAACTACAGCATGACAGTCCCGCTATACAAAGGCAAAGGTGATCCATTGAACTGTTCATCATATCGGGGTATACGTCTGTTAGAACACTCCCTGAAAATTGTCGAGAAAATCATTGAGAGAAGATTAACGTCGTGAATCACAATCGGAAATTATAAATTAGGTTTCCTAGCGGGGAATTCAACTATTGATGCAATTCACATTCTTCGGCAACTGCAAGAGAAGTACCTCGCAAAGCATCAACAACTATCACACATTTTTGTAGACCTTGAAAAAGCATTTGATCGAGTTTCCCGTGAAGCAATCAGGTGGAGTCTACGTCGACAACTAATTCCAGGATATCTTGTTCGACTTGTGATAGAAATGTATACGAATACTAAGACTCTCGTCAGCACTATGGTTGGAAACACAAATGCATTTGACATCGGCGATGGAATTTACCAAGGCTCGATTCTCAGTCCACTGTTATTTATAACTGTGATGGAAGAAATCACAAAACCGATACGCACTGGTGTCATTTGAAATCTAGTATATGCTGATGATATCGTTTTAACAGCCACGTCTGAGCAGAATGCAGCACAGATGTTTGAAGATTGGAACACCAGACTCGCCAATCATGGATTCAAAGTCAACATCAGCAAAACCAAAGCAATGAACACTGGTGAACCCATCCAATTCACAGCTGCTGGACGATGGCCCTGTTCAGTTTGTAAAGCTGGTGTAGGTAACAATTCAATCAAGTGTCAGGAGTGTAACCAGTGATGTCACAAACGTTGTTCAAAAATAATTGGTACTTTATCTAGAGTGTCCAATTTTGTTTGTCCTGGTTGCATTAATTCACAACAACAAATTCGAAATAGCAATGTTTTTGAAGCCATTAAGGTAGAGAAAGTCACATCGTATCAATATCTAAGAGATGTTCTGTATTGTACTGGAACAGCTGAAGCTGCCGTTCGACCACACATACGTTCAGCCTGGAATAAATGGCATCTCCTTGCCTCTATATTGATGCGGCGTGACATCCCACTTCCACTATGATCCAAACTTTATAAATCTGTGATACGTCCGGTGTTGTTATATAGTGCAGAAACATGGCCAATGACAACCAAACTAGAACAACTTCAACGAACCGACATAAAAATGCTACGATGGATGCAATGAATTAGTCTGAAGGACCACATCAAATCTACCGAAATCTGGCGTCGTGCTGGTTTAGATGAATGCCGGCAACACCGTCTGCGGGGGTTTGGTCATGTCAAACGAAGTGGAAACAGTGCCATAACTTCTCTTGCAGATGTTGAAGTACCCGGCACACGTCCCAAAGGCCGTCCAAAGAAGTCCTGGTCGCAAACAATCGAGCAAGACATGAAAGCTCTAAATTTAAATGAAATGGATATAACTGATCGTCTAATTTGGCGCTAAAAGTTGATGGCAAAGAAAACAACTTCCTACCTCGGGGAACTGGGTCTCTGGAAGCTAAACGAAGATTGATTGAAATTATAATTTTTATTTAAGCTGTTAAATTATGATTTTTTTTAAAAATAGATGACAGACAATAAAATTTAAGATAACTAAATTGCAGAATGAAAGAGACATGGAAAGAGAAACTGGTTGCAAGTGTGTTTATGTTTATCTTAACTTTTATATCTACCGCTCTGCCAATAAAGTTTATTGACAACAAAGCACTGATTGCTCTTAAACAAAGATCCCCAGAATCAAGCATTCGATTAAAACGTGTTCTTAGACATCTTAATTGGTTTGCTGCTGGAGTGTTTCTTGCTACTACCATTGTTCACATGCTGCCAGAGGTTAGAGGAGGGTTTATCAATATCTCTACTCAACTGAAAAAGGACTTTGAAATCAATTGTAATGAGTCCAACTTGACCAGTAAGTTTAATATTTTTATATATTAATTCTTATATAACACCAACATAGTAGGTATGCTGTCAAAAGTATTGTCCTGAATTGTCAGAGCGCAATGTTTGACTTAGTATGGCATAGTTCTTAGAATGACTGTCAGTTAAATATTTAGGGGCGACTCCCTTAATACATTTAAAAACCATTAAACATGTTTTGAAAAAAACTCTTTAATAAACCGTAAGCCACATTTTCCTGATTTAAAAATTATTGAACACAAATTCATTTGACAATTACAATAAGATATTAAGTTAATTTGTTACGATATGTTATTTTAGTAACGAATAAAAATTCGTTTTTTGATTCGATTTTTGCTTTGTTAACATTGTGGATAAATAAATATTTGCATTTTATTTTGCAGGTTCTCAACGAAAAAGCCACATTATATTATTTTTTTTGGATGACTTTCCACTTGCAGAAGTTATCATGTGCCTCGGTTTCTTCATCATCATGTTTCTAGAAATTTTTTTGCACAAAATTTCTAATATCTGTCAAAGCAAAAACAATGACACCTTTAGAAGAAAATTTAATAGAAAATTCTATGATGCATTACGTAACAAGGATTTTGATGAACCATGTAGTGAAATCAGTTGTGAAAATAATTCTGTTAATAATCCCGAAAATAGTGTAGATTGTTCAAGTGAATTAAATTATGAAACTTCATCACTTTCTGTTACAAAAAACAAATCAATTACCATGATAGGAAAAAACTCTAAATATGACATCGAACCATATCATTTGAATGCAAATACATTTGCTCCTGATACCAAATGTGACAAAGACAATATTAGAGAACAGGTCAAATCAACAAAACATCGCCTGCCATTTTACAGGAATGGAAACTCAAATAAAGAAATTTTAACAAATTCTACCAGTTCAACATTTGGAGCAATAGTTTTTTTATTGGCGTTGATAATTCATTCAGTCATTGAAGGATTTGCACTGGGTCTAGTCAACACGTCTTTACAACTGTGGACATTATTTACCGCAATTATTATTCACAAAACTGTAGTCGCCACCACATGTGGAATTCGATTGGCTGAAAACTTTTCAACTGCTGTACAAAAAAATTTGAATGTTTTCTATAGAAAAAATGTCGACGATAGTGATTCAGATACTGGACAAATAGAAACAAATGTAAATAATGATGACCAAACCGACATTAACCCAAATGATTTTAGGGGAGTATCACAATGTAAGACATCTCACAAAGCTTACACAAGTGCATTTATATTCAGTTTATCTTCGCCATTTGGTATTCTTCTTGGTATTCTTATCAGCTTGTTTCAGCATTCAAATAGCCGTTCAAATTCTTTGTTTGCTGTTATCCTTCAAGGTTTGGCTACAGGAACATTCCTTTTTGTTAGTTTATTTGAAGTCATTTTTCCTCAGTTAACTCAGGCTCACATGGAACTGTTCGATTCATTATTATGCTTCTTTGGGTTTTTTTTGCTAGTTTTGTTAAGGTTGTTTTTTAAAGATTGAGCTAATGGAACTGGAATACGTTTCATCAAATTAAATTTCATCAAATGGTTTTTACTCTTGAATTTATCAACATTTTATTGTATAAAATTTATATTCAATTATAAAAAATATTTTACTAAAGTTTTTATATTATACAACGTTTGCAACTTAAGTTTTTTCATCCATTCTTGTGTCGAAGTTGAATTAAAAAAGAAAGGCTTATCATTTAAAAAACAGCTGCTAGGAAAACAAACAAACTTGTTGGAGGTAGAAGGAAAAATGGAAACGCATAGAAAACTAATGAAATAAAGATAGGTGGACATATAAAATATTGTATATATAAAACCATTATTAATATATAAAAACCATTGATAAAACAAAGAAACAACAAAGAAGCGCTTTGAAAAAACAGGTAAAACTGAGCTAGTGTTAGATATAATAATAGGGCTCATAACAAACCACAAATGAGTAAAATAAAATTAAAAAAAACATTTAAAACTTAAGTTTGTATGTACGTATGGTCCCGTTTTTGATAATAATTACGAGTGAGTTAATTATCAATTTCTGGTTTGAGTGTGACCGAGGACCGATATAACAAGCCACATCACTGTGTGGCATAGGAAATTAAACTGGTACATTAGTACACGATAAGTTATTATTTTTTGTGGCGTTGTTTATCCTAATCGTATCATTTTTATCTTATACAGAAAATGCTTTTTTTCGATAATCCTTTATCATTTTCTATGTAGTATGTTATTAACTATTGGCTGTATCTGCGTGTCCTTACATTATTCATTTTTTTATATTTTATGTGCCAATAATAAAGTTATATTATAAGTTATATAGAGTTATATGAGTGTTAAATGGCTCTTTGATATGAAATTAAATATGTTGAATTTAGAACATTTCGGCTGACATTAATTCGTTCACTCTAGAAATGTGGCGGAATGTTAAAAGATATCCGGCTTACACCAGCTTAAATTTAGCCGGAAAAGGTGAAAAAGTAAACAGTGAAATGCTTCAATAAAGTGCTAACAGTTGTGATAACGATAAATTATTTTGACACAAGGTGTATAATTCATTTAAAAGTAGTAATAACTACTCATGTTTTAGAACAAAAATCATCAAACTCTTTCAAAAGGAACTAACGACTTTTTTACCTTTTGCTAAAAAAGCGCTCTAAACGCTCTTTCGTCTTACAGTGATAATTTGAAGTCGAATGTCATCGTCTGCTTACGGCCACCTAGCGGCTCAAAAATAACGACTAGCGGGAATGTTTTTGCTTAAAATTTTATTACGCCAGCAACGTGACGTGAATGACATCTGACGTCATCGAATATCTGAAGCTTATGATGTCGAGGCAAATATCATATCATATCATATCAGACTTGACAGCTACAAACTGTTAACGTCATTTCGACTATGCGTCGATACAAAGTTTGTCGATACAAAGTTTGCCGATTGGGTAACCAGTAATGGTTCAAATGAAAATCAGAGTGGCGGTTCAACAACCATCAAAAGAGGCGATAGCAACAACAATGCTAAATTATCTGAGGCTCTTTATCTTTTCATGGGAGGATAATAGCATCTCAAAATTGAACGTCCCGCTAAAGTTATTTATAACCAAGCGTTTTTTAAAGATTGATAATTGTAAAAATCACTATACAAATCCCAATAGCAATAATAATATTGATAAGTAATAAACTTTTAATTAAATTAAACTCATCACAATTCGTGTCCCAATCAATGTTCCTAAGCATCTATGTTTAAAAACAAATGTCACAAAAATCTTATAGATAATCTTCATCATTGTATAATCTTGTATATCAGGGATGGGGAAAATTGCTAAAATGTTTCGTATAATACAATAAGATAAATCACGAATAATTATCAGTTATTCAGCCTGTTTCAGTCTGCCTGTTGTCAAGATTAACGTCTGTTGTTTTTGAACCATTTTCAAGTATCTAAAATGGTAATATAGGTAAAGTTTTATCAATCATGTTTTGAACCAATGATTTAATTGCGAAAACAATCAATCAGAATCACTTAAATAGTAAAATATAAGTAATTACCACATATATTAATTCTTATTAGTACTAATATGTATGGTAATCACAAACTTGTTTTAAAACGATCATATCAGCAACGATTCTTACAGTATTCAGAATTGATAATCATCAACTTGGCATTAAAATCTATTTTATTGTCATTAATCACATGCTAATAATGTATGCTTAAAATCCTAAGCTAAAATCATCGTCTACTTACGACTTTGATGCATTGCTGAAGAATTTTACTCCTGTCTTTAAGATCACCATCTTCCAAACTAGTGTTCAACTGTATACCTTTTTTTCTAAAAGGAAATAAATGATTTGAAAATAGGACAAAGGTAAAACAACAAAATCGACAATATAATAAAATCATAATTAAACAAAAATTGATAACATGATATATACGCTGGAAGGAGACCATATTTTAGACAGTATTGTCTGAATTCTATGAATTCTACAACAATTTCCAGAAAATTTTAATAAGGAAAATTGAAAAAGACAAACTTTAAATTGATTAATGCCAACAATTCGGTAGAGTTCATACAATACTAGGCTT